ATACCATTTGAATTTATTTGACTAAGAAGTACATCTTGGTTTTATACAAAATTTGACAGTATTAAGTTTGTGTGTGTGTGTTTTTTTGTACGCAGGCTGTAGGAATTGCTGTTGAGTTTTGCAGTCATCTGGTACATTCTTTTTCGGTCTCAGTGAAGGCGACGAGAGTTGACCGAGTCGCCGATGCATTAACGAACATGGGAAGTTCCATTTTTAGCGGTATCACGTTGACAAAGTTTGGTGGAATCGTAGTACTTGGTTTCGCGAAAAGCCAAATATTTCAGGTATGCGCTGTTTGAATTTTGCCGCGTTCGCATTCGTAAACATGTTTTTCGTTTTGTTTTCCTGAGTTCCTCATGTCAAACACACTTTCAGGTATTTTACTTCAGAATGTACCTGGGTATTGTACTGTTCGGGGCGGCGCATGGCTTAATATTCTTGCCAGTATTACTCAGTTACATAGGTAAGAATTTTTCTTCATAACGTACATTCTCTCATGTAAACTTCTTTGGAACACGCTTTATATGTATTTATATTTTTGCTGTAATTTCAGTCCTCGTCGATAAAAAGTTTTCTATAATAATAGTAATTGTTATTTCAATTACGATTCTATCGATATATTTTAAAAAAAAACACACCAGTGATTCTCGAACAATTTTAACAATAAATGAATTTGATTATCATATCCCTATAACCTATTTTTGACATGCAAAAAGCTTATATTTTACAGACTAAACGTTCAATCATTTATATGTTCTATAATGTTAACGTTTATACACGCTTTTGTCTTTATATCGTTGCATAAATTTGTTTCCAAATTGTAACGATCGTGCGTACTTCATCAAACAAAACAAAACATTCGGATATACAAAACCACATGACGGCATTGATTCAATAGAAGTTATACAAGTTACTACTCACACATAATAATTACATTTCTGCAGTAAAAAAAAATATATAAAGATATACTTTCGCGTTTTAACTTACCATGCGTTGAGCCTATTGTGCATTTCCGGTTAGCGACACAATGAAGTATTTCGTCTTGTTGAATGAAGTATAAGAATTTAATCTCGAAAGGATTGGATACAATCAGACTACAGTAAACAATTAAGCTAACTTCGTCATGGCTCATGGTGGTTCTAGGTACACCAATGAACAGAGAGAAGCTGGCAAATCACAAGAGAACGATACAGGGAAATCTGGATAACGTGCAGGAGACTTCTTTGAATCATCGTGTAAGCAAATTCAATTCTCCTCCCACACCCACCACAAGCACACCTACGTTCAGAGTGCTCGATTACGAAAGATAGGTACGCAGGATACCCACATTTTCTACACTCTCTCTTTTCTATGTCTCGTAATCTGTGATAACATACATTTTCTACATTGGCTTCTACGACACTGTGTTTTGCAACAAAATTGCTTCGAATCAAAATCGATGGATTAAAAGTGTTCAACCTGTAATCTACATGAGCATTGTAAATACTTTCAACACATGCATACACACACACATACACATCCTACTTACATCGCACTTGGTTGAGCTACAGGTATACGCATTTAGATTACAGGTATACTTCTTTCAGCCTCCTTTTATGTTAGCTTTTTATACCACTTTGAAAGTAAAATATGCACTCTATGGCGGAGTTTCTGTGTGTATGTGTGTGTGTGGATGAGTGTGGGATGGGATATCCATTTCCATATAAATACGCTTCATTGGTAAGATTACGTTTTCATTTCCTCTATCGCCGTTTTTACATTTCGTAAAATTGTTATGAAACTTTTCTTTTTTGTTTTGTGTCTTGAATGCGTGCTCTTGTGGTTAGTTAGCCATCAAGTATCATGTGCCACCTTTTCAGTAAGCCTATTCCCATTTACATAATTGTTAACTAATAGCACTGTCAATCTATTATGTATATTTATAGCTGTTGATAGAGTTGCAAAAGGGATATGGAAAAAATTCAATTGCCACTGGTGGATGGGACTCACGTTTTTTTTTCTTTTTCTTTTTAAGCCCATATTATCTGTATTATATTCTCCTGTAAGCACTTTGATTTGGCTGTATGCAGCGACACTAATGCTTTTTGTACGTATAGCAGAATTGGGCACGTATTCATATAGATATACTAATAAGAATAACGAATAAATACGACGAATGGATCCTAACCCTAAAATTTGTCAATCAATGCCCAATTTTGATGTATGGTTAGCGTGTCTATGAAAGGGGAATTAAATATAACTTTTAATACTTTTCATTGTTACTTATAGGCGTGATGTCGCGCCGAAGGCGCAACAGAGTCCGCCATCGTGCCAGCAGGGCTAGAAACAAATTTAGGAGTGAAGAACGCGAGCCCAACTCTCCTCTGCTCCAAAATGACAACAATCAGTTCCCAACCACTTCCTACGCCAGTGTGAACTCCACGGAGTCAACGCATCGATATTTGACCTTCTAGCATTAATCATCAGAATGATATGAACGTTTTTGTATTTAGAGAGACTGAACTCGACGAACACGACACATGGTTATCTCTCATCTTCTACTACAAAATTCTTTCTTCACAGATCGAAATAAGTTAAACGAATCGTCAATGAAATTGCCACGATCCACGTAAACTGTGAAGTTCATGCCTGGTGTCTTTGTTTCTAATTAGGAAGGAACTACTTTCGTATATTATTCATTCTATTACGAATATCATAAGAATTGCGTCCTATTTAGGGTATTTATTTCGTGGAAAAAACAGCCTTTCAAGTTAACGTTGCACTACTTCTGAAGCTTTACTTATATTATATTCGCGTAATTTTTAAGGGTGGTATGATCAATCGAGAGACGATTGAGTGTCAAGGAACAGTCGTTTAAAGTTCTAACAAGCGTGGCAGATAGTTTTTTCTGGTATTCGTTGATAATGTAAAACACGTAAACGTATGTTGCTTGGCAAACGACCAATGTATCTGCATTTTTCTCGTGCTTTATCGTCGAGCGTGCATTTTTCTTCGACGTGAGATACATTTTATTTCCAATATCGGTGACGCGTAATTCGTGTGTCATAAAGTGATGTGCCAGTGACACGATAACGTTATCTTTTATTCGTGGAAATTTGATCACACATAACATACTATCCTATATTTTAAATGCAATTTTACCATTTCAACAGAATTATTCAAAAATATATATCATCGAAGTTTTTGCACAACGTAAATGTAGAACTTTGTCCAAATGAGTATTAACCGTCCTTAGTCATGGTAAAGAAACAAATATAAACGATTCTAAATTTACGTTGAACAAAAATTGTTAGTTAATGCGGTACCGATTACGATCAGTTAGTTGAAGTACGCGACATCGATATTGGCATATATTATTCATCCTTGCGTTCTTCTTTTTCTATGATATACAAACGATAATATTCCGAATCGGTAACGTTTTCAAGTAACATATTTTTACGTTATAGCAGACAACTGTAAGTCATTTTGTTTGTTTCTCTTTTTTTCTTGTATCCTTTACTATATTCACTAACTGTTTTAGCCATTACTTTTTCTATTGTCTGCAGTCTTACTGAGCCTGGAGTGAAACGCGAACCGAGTCGCAACAGCTATTCCCCAGTGTTCAAGGAAAAAAACGATATCGTTTTTCGATAACATAGTGTTGTTGCTCGGTTCTCTTACGTTTTATTCTCACAATCTTAAAGATTTCACTAGATAACTATGGTGTTTAACGAGAAAAAAAGGAAAAGGTAGTTGAGTTAGAAAGTTGAATGATGTAGAAGTGTTAGCTGTTTAAGTTCCGTTGCGTGCTTTATCGGTGTAAAATGTCTCGTAAGAAGTATGACGCTTCTGCTCGGTGTCCACAGTGAATTGTCAAACAGTATTTTTGTTGTATGAAAATTCGACGGAGAGGTAGTCGATCCGAAGCCCGTCTCTTCTGCGATAGCGTGAACATTTCATGTCGCGAGTTCGGACTCGCGCATTTTTTTTGTAAAATTATTTGTATATGAAGAACAATTTTTATACTGAGAACGGAGGTACACACACTCGCGCACGTCACTGCGACGTTAACAAAGAAAACCTCGTTGAAATTATTAGACGATACGTATGCGATTGTTGTTAATGCTGTGTGCAACGAATGAGAAGAAAACGAAATTCGTCTGTGCTATTGGATGTTTGTAGATCTCGTCTAGTGATAAAAAAAAAGGTATGTTCTATATGTACAAATGGTGAAAAAGTATCGATGAACGTTAAATAAATGCCGACGAGTATGTACAATTACGCTCGGATTCATTCGCATATGTATACACGTGCAACGATGTTAATAGACTGCATATCACTAGTAAATTTTCAGTATTAAATTCTCGAGACGAGCAGAGCACGGCGTAACTACCAAAGAGGTGTCCGAACAACGGTGAAACCGTGTTAAACACGTAATACGAATAAACTTTTCTTTCTGTTTGTACGATACAAACGTGTTGAGTATCTTTTTACATCGTTATTTACGAGTTGGCGAGATGGTGAAAAGTGTGTACAAGTGTAATGCGTTGACAGATCGCTACGTTGCCAAACACTTGTTCCTGTAAGTGTTCGTGCCAGGCCAGGGAAATTCTATTCCACTAAAATTCATTTAAAAGCGAATACCGCGTGCTTACTCGACTCTGAGAAGTAGAGGAATTTAATAGAAACGACTGCGTTGCAATTCTGTCCAACATATCATGTTGAGTATTAAAATTAGAAGTGACAACAATTATCGAGAGGAAAGCTAGCCCATGGAATCTTCCTGATAAATATGAATTCAAAATGAAACAAATGAAAATTACGAGGCTTGAAAATGAGAAAAGTAAGATTTCATTTAATCTTAACTTTATTATTGAAAATAGAGAAAAAGGTTATTTACCGTTGTCGTGAATATATATCAGAAAAACTACTAGAGATAATCGTATATATTTATGGGCCAATTTTGATTCAAACTGAATTAGATCTCTACTTTTACTAGGACGCAGAAAGACGACTCGATATTGAGTTTACGATAAAATATGCGATTTATTGCATCGTCTTCTTACAGAAATTAAATAACAATTATTATTAAACAGAGTTAGAGTTGTCTTTTGTACATGCACGCGAGAACTGCTGTTCTCGAAACGATCTTTGATCAATCCATTGCATGGAGAGGTCCGAACAAGTGAACCGCCTGGCAATTCTCGTCCGGATTACCGAGGAATTGGGCGTATAATTCCTGGTAGCGTGACAAAGTCAATCCACCGCGTCTCCTGTCGTCATCCTATGACCAAGAAGAAACAAAACACTGTCAGTTGATAAATATTTAAAAATTAATAGACATTCGCGCTATTTTCGTTGCTAATTTATTGAATTATTCGTGTTGAAATATGCAGACTTTAAATTATTAGGTTTCGCCGGCGTAAACATTGTGCATCATGCGATCTTCGTTTTAAGCAGATTGAAATGGCGCAGTTGAATGTCAATAGTAGACATTTTTTAATGGCAAACGTATGCTTGTCCTGACAGTCGACTCTAAAGCATTGAAACAGAATCTTGGCGAGCTGTCAAACTATTGTTCTCCTGCGTCGAAGTCAGAATTAGTTAGGTTACGTTCGCGATTTCATTGGTTTTGTTTACTGTTTGCATTTTGTGTTTACGTATTACACGAGAGCTACTCAACAGATCCGGTGTATTTAACGGAAGAGTTTGGTCTTGTTTCGCAGAAGGTCGAAAGAAGTTCTATCTATATACTCGATGTAACAAAAAGGGTGCATTTCACAGCGTTTCTCAAATTGAAATTCGTGAACTTCCAGAAGAGAAAGAGGAACTTTGTAGTGGAATGAAAAGAACCAAAATTTGGTACAAAAGTGTCTATATTAATATTTGATAGATCCTAAAACTCACTTGAATCCACTTCGTATTTACTCTTGTATCATTTAGTGAACAATGTATAGAAATTTAAGAAATGGTTTACAAGAAAGACAATATATTAGACAATAATTTAATTCTATTCTACAAGATCCACCAGCAGTTTCTCTTAATCGAGGGAGTTCTCAGAGTACTGAAGTTTGAGAAACATTGGCATAGCAAATCAGATCACACGGTTTTAAGATTGTTTGCAGGGTCGTGCTTATGTAGACTGATGAAAAATGGAATTGTCACGACCTTGATTTGTAAAAGTACCTAAAACGTGATCTTACATTTAGGAGGCTTTGATAGGCTTCGTCCAGAATGTGTATGTTGTCTACGGGAATCCTCGTCACGCAATTGTAGCGAAATTCATCGGCAGCAATCACTCCGTCGTCTGAAAATGATAAAAACAAGATACTATCGATGGAATTTGTATTAGTATGGATATTGGAACAAAACTTTTTAACTGTTTCATAGAGAAAAATGAAAGAGTAGATGATCCACCCCTTTGCTCTTTAACTGCGTTACTGTCTCAGAGTGATTATTCACAGCTACCAATAATAGATAAAATCCTATTCCTGTTACCGTTTAAATCGACCAGCTTAAAGTGGCTATCGATAAACATCTTCATCGCCTGCGGGAAGTCTCGATACTCTCTTCCGACGCAGCTTCTTTGTACCGCGTCCTTGAATTCCTCAATAGTTACAATACCGTCCTGTAAGAAAAATTGAAGTGAATGTTCCGAAAAATAAAATTGTAAATTAGGCCTGAATATAAATACACAGAATCCTTTGGAATATCCAAATGCGTTCTTCCTACAAACAGTTGTGAACTTTGCGTATAGAGCAAAGATTCATTTTATTTCAATTTTTCAATAATTAGTTTCATACTGCGATAAGTCTAGATTCGACACTAACGAAAAGCAACTAGTTAACATTTAACAACGAGATTAAGTAATATATTACCTTATTAAAATCTGCGAGTTCCGCGATTTCGTCCCACAAGGAAAGCATGATGTGCAGATTCTCTTGGTATCGACTGTAGCTAAACTCCCCCTTTCCCTCGATCAGGGTCATTTTCAACGCCATGCACTCGAAATCGTGCCTCTCCACCATGCCATTGTTGTCCGTGTCTGAATATGATAAATACGCCGTCTAATCGTACATGTCGTTAATTAGGTCTGTTTTGTTGGAGATTCACGCAATGCGTGTAATTGGGGTCGGGCGATTAATCGATCGGTACGTGCCAATTTATGTCTAAGGAGATTTTTGCCATCGCACGCCTGGACACGCTCCAAATATTTCACATTTTGGCAGAAGTCATGTATGTGTACGATCCTCGAACATCAATCCAGTTCAAAGCGTGAATACAATTAAATGTATTTGATAGAAAATTACTTATCGATACGGTACGGTAGATAATTTCAGATTTGAATTTGATTTTATCAACGAGTACCTGTCGATACTACAGTGATCGATGGCGTGTGCTTGTCGATAATATCGTGATCGATTACAAATACAGTAGGATCACCAGTGGATTACCCATGGTTACAAAGGTAAAACAGTCGTATATGAAAAAGTAAAATAAAACTACTAAAGTTATTCATTTAATAAATTTGCCAAACTTTTTACTCTCAATTTTTATTATTATTTCTTTTACAGATTTCCATTCACTTTTATCAGTGGAATAGAAAAGTAATAAAACGTCGAACTTTCTGCAAATTTCACCTCTCCAAGGAGATATTGTAATCGATTGTAAGTACTCGTCCATATCAGTTATCGATTCGCAAGACCAAATCTTGTAGTAACTTAGTTATTTGTTTGCGCAGATAGTGGAACACGTAACACAGAGCGATGAAAAATCCAGGCCGGGGGTAGAATGGTCCATAAAACAAATTAGAGCCAAGAACTTAAATTTGGCATCGACCAATTGCAGACGCCGCGACGACGACGTGGTATGTTTCTTGTAGTCAACCTAAATCCTAAACAAGCATGACACTCTCGTAGCCAAGAGTTTCTCGTTCCTCGTTCCGCGCGATGCAGGTTAACAAAGGACACATATATGTTGTTTTTATTTTTTGTTTTAGTTCACGATACACAGCGACTGTTAGCACGTGCAAACTTCGTCTTTTAGCAAAGGTAACAAATAGACGATGGGAGGGAATTTGAAAAAGATCCAGGAGTTCCTCTGCGAGGACAGGTACGCATAGTCGAAACACTTCATTGGCATTCGTATTCTGCTGAATAATAATACCGATATCCTCAGAACGACGATAATATTATCCCTGAAATGCAGTTCGAACTACCCGCATGCACGTGGATCCTCAAAAGCAGCATCACACGCGTGCTCAGTACCGAACGAAGGCGTGGACTTTAAGGATTGCAGCTCAGAGGTCCCAGAAAATACTTTTAGGTAATTCGATGAATGCTCGATTATAAAATACTACATTTTATGTATGCACACCATAACTCCATTTATTTAATAATTGTACGAGGTTATTCGATTTAATAGTTTTGTAAAAATGTACATGTATCAGACAAACGTGTCTTGTTCTGATGCGTATTCAAATAGATGCCAGGTTCAGCTAAAGTGCTGTTTTTAAACCTAACTTAAACAGGCTGGCAGTTAAAGTTTTAATCGTTTTTCAATTTTTATTCTTTCCTTAGGATATATTACCGGAGCTCTAGTACCCAGGGATGTCTAAAAAAAACTTAATCCAGCGCTGAACGTGCTTCAGCATCGTGAATGACCGCGTACTAACCGTAGAGAAACCTTACAATGAAATCGACACGATTGTTCCAGCTGTACGCCATCCTCTTTGCATCAACGCCAGCCTTCCCAGTCTTGCCTTCTCCTTTCGTAACGCTGCTCCCCTCTGTCTTTGTATTTTTATCCCTTCGTCGGTAGATGAAATGGACCGCGACTGAAAGATGACCGAAGTACCGTTTCTCGAATCAGCGTGAGGAAAGACGAGCGGATCGCGTTCGATAAACGAGACGGAGAAAGTGGCTCGCGAGGATGGTGGTTTCGCACTGAACTCGAGTCGAGTCTCCCCGAGTCGTCGTCTAAGTTTAGAGTACCACCTCCTCCCTAACGGAAGGACACAGAACGTTTCTGTTTGCGACAAAGGGGGAAGTGGGGCCTCAAGTGGAGGCTGTGTCACCGTGACACAGTCACCGAACTCAACCGCAAGTGTATTCACTTTCGCCGACTTTCATCGGCTTTCATCGGCTTTCATCGGCTTTCATCGCCGCGTCTTCGTCTTCCCTTGTCCTCTTATTTGTTTGCTTTTTCTTCTTTCATTCGGCTTCGACAATTCCGATGGTCATTCGTTGTCCCGTGCCTACGAGGTCAGATCCGAACAGTTCGTTACGAAAACACGCGCGTGCCCTTTGTCACGTTCATTGCTGCGACTCTTTTAGTTCTCTTTCGCATTTTACTGTGGAGTCGAACGGTAGAGAGTAACTTTTTATTCGAGTCATTTATTTCCATTTAGTGAAGCATTGAATATTCATTTTATAATATTCGAATATTCGTTGAATATTCAAAGGGATGGTTAGTCACGGAGGATACGAATAGTTAAAGAAGTCTGCGGGAAGATGATGTTTGAGAAACACTTCTGAAATAGCGCAGCGTTTCCTAAACGGTGTTTCGTGGAATATGATACAGGGTGTTCGGCAACAGGTAGTGGAAACTTCGTGGTGCCGATTCTGCGTGTTAAAATGAGACGAAAATCACGAATGATGAAATTGTGCGTAAATGTGGTGAAAGTCCATGTATCAGACATTTAATAATTATGAACAAGGGTACAAATCCATTCGGATAAATTTTAACAGCCCTTTCGTAACTAATGCTTTCTCGCAGAGGAAAGCTGACCTCCTTGACTTCAAAACGTTTTTATCCACGAACTGGACACATTTTTGGATACGGTATCGTCTCGAAATAAGCAACTCAATCGGGACCGGCGAGTTCAAGGGAGGTATGCTATTGAGCTTGACTTTGTTCTCGAGTGTGACGAGGAGGAACTCGTACACAAAACAGAGAAAGAGAAAACATTACACACGTTCTGTGCTCTTTCCATTAATCTGTTTCTCGCTTTCACGGATTTTTCGCTTCCTTTCGGATCTCTCACTTGGCGGACGACTTCAAAAAAAAAAAAATAGGGATAACGAGTTGCTTATTTAACACGTTGTACGCCATGTCACCCATATATGGGTGACAGTGTTTCTCACTCAAGAACTAGAAAGATTAATTCTGAAAGTTAGACGTCACAGGAGATGAATCTAAATGAAATTCATGAGTTTTGATGTGGTTACAAAATTAAATACCACGCTAAATATTTCATTACCTAGACTCTGATAGTTTAAATAATATTTAATCTTAGCAGAAATTTTCAAGAATATTCGTTTGCCAGTCAACGTGTTAATGGCAAATGGTTATCGTTTATATTTTTAATAATTACGCATATATTTCACATTCGCATTAAAGAAAGCATTATTAATGCGTACCGTGATTCTCATTCTCTTTTTAACTGTAGCAGGGGCCCGGTTCCTCTATTCTATCTATAATATCTCTATGGTTTAAATCCGTTCTGTCAACAGTCCTGTTTCGTCAACGTCGTTACGGCTAATTGGACACGAAAATCGTCTCGACGCTTCGGGAGATTGGCGTAATTAAGTCAAAGCCAAGGTGTTCCCGGTTTAAATGCAACTTTCAAGTGCGACTATCTTCGGTTGTTGGCAATTATTTCCACGGTGTGGCACCGCCAATCGGCACCAGGCCTTTGTTCCTTGCAAGATGCTCTCCACTCAAATTTGAAATTCTATTTAAACGACAAAGTTGAGTAATAATAGATTAACAGAGTAATTCAAACGAAAGGTCATGTACGTTGCTTCTTCTTAATCGTAATTTCTACTATCGTATACGCAAGGCTGTGAATATTCTTAAACATTAACCGTGAACCATTTAAATTATTAATTAATTTGTCATTTCAAATAGCACATTGAATCTTCGCCTCTAAATGAGACGAATCCTCGCGTGTCGAATGAGTGTTCTCGTGTTTTTTCCGTGGTAAATTTTGCATTCTAATTCTGATTGTTCGACGAGCACGCAAGCGTTAGTGTCCCCAGCTACGAAGATGCTAATGGCCTCTCAACTGGCTATTATTTGGCCGACGGCCCGCGAAGACCGGTAATTACCAGAGGAATTGTAAAAGTAGCCTCGCCTCTGTTTCCATCTATGTACGCTAACGCGTTCATCGTGCTCTAAATTGCCTCGATGTAAATCATTCTTCGATGGCGGTTAATTAAATCCGCCTGTCGTCACCTCACCGTGACCGAGATCGCGTATTTACAACGCTACACGCGCGAACCACTCGCAACCGGAGCTTTTTATTTATGGAAATTCTGCGAAACGTAATCGCAAAGTTGCATTAGAAGTTCCCGCGAAAGATACATACATACGATCATGACGCACTCCAGCAGAAAAAAAAATGGAATTCGTACTTATTGTTTTCGATAGTTAAAATTGGTTATAATAAAATTGGAGATGGAAGCTTTTCCTAGAGTGCTGATTTTTGTTTAAAACGAAAATACATTTGGCAGTGCTGACAGGTAATTTATTTAATACAACGTTTGGGTTTCGTTCTTTGGGACCAATAAATTAACTTCAGGTATTGTCATATTTATCTTTGCCCCCGAAATACCAACAAGAAAGAGCTACCTTTCTTCACTCTTTATTTCACTTAATTTATTATGATAGTATGCAAAATTTCGTAAAATATATTTAATATTTATTAATAATATTTCAAGTTATCACAGCGGATTATGCGAAATAGGAGATGGGGAGCTCTTTGTTTCTTGTTGGTGTCTTGGAGCAAAAATAAATACCCAAAGGTAATTTATTGAACTCGACGAATGAAGCTGAAACGTACAAAATAAATTACCTGTTGACACTGCCAAATTTATTTTTGTTCTAAAAGACCAACAAGAAAGGAGTAGCTACCTTTCCCCTGTTTCGTTTCATTTACTCTAATGTGATAGCACAAAACATTTTCAGTCGTGCAAAATTAATATTCAAAAGGAAACTTATCCATTGGTCGCAGAACAGATTAAAAGAAAATTAAAAAAATAATTTAACAAAACAGAGTAATTATTCGTAAACTTTACAATCATTTACATGGTATTTATGAATGATATACAATAATATCATCATCATTTTTAATTTTAAAAATGATTTTGGCAGTAAAAGAATTATCCAAAGCCACTTAAAAATATTCTTAACGTTCTATTCTTTCTTCACTTTTCCTCTCCTATATCGTCTTCCTTTTGTGTATACACAATGCGTATAAACGTTGTGATCGTTCATAAAGACAAATAAATAAATAAGAAATAAATGTCTAACCTCAGAATGGTTTCAGTTTACGATAGGGAAAATTTCACCGTTCCTAAGAGATTATTTTCGTCTGTAGATCGTTACCTCGAACCAAGATCCTCGATGAAAACAACGAAGTTCCCTTCGCGAATCCGACCGTGACATTGGTTTCGACGGATTCGACGTATTCGATGTTCAAGGTGGAACGAAACGGCTACAAAGCAGAGATTCGCCAGAAACGAGGTAGAGAGTAGAATATTTTAAATATAAACGTCGATTTGCGCTGGCTATCGTCATCTGGAATAGATTAACTTCGTCGACGAAATTACCACGTGCGTATGTTCGGACGTTTTACAGTCAGCAGCTCCCCGACCTTCTGAAATTCCCGGTACGCGGCCATTTCCCAAAAACAGTACAGCTAAACAGAGACGAGACCGAGTCTATTGTAAAATACCAATTTTACGCGATTGCATCATCTCGTTTCGTTTGGCTCGTCGAAGACAACTTAGACAGCCCTTCCTTCTCCTCTCTTCACCTCTACTTAACACTTTAACGACTGGTAGCGTTAGTGTTCTACAATATTTATTTTATCTATTCGAATATTTTCTAGTTTAATATTTACATAATATTTCGAAATGATGGGACCGTACGATGCTATATCAGTAATAGATAAGAAAGTGTTGCTTGCCATGGTAAGCAGATGATTAATAGGCTATCAGTCGGTAAAATGTTACAGTGTTAAAGTGTCAGAGCGTTCCCACGTGAAACGTATTTAAAACGTTGTATTGTATTTCCTTCATCGTGATACACAAAAAACTTTCTTCCTGAATCAGTCTAACATCAACGAGTTAGATATTAACGAGCAGTTACCGAACAACTAGATCTAGAATGTGTTCCCTATCGGTGCTTGACAGAATGTGACTGCACTAATAATTGACCATTACTATTGAATGTTATTATATAAACGTAGAAATTGTCTATAAATTTGAGAATATTTCGTTTATCTACAAAGGGTTAACGTTCATTTAGAAAGGGTTAATGAACACACGTCACCTCCTAATACGTACCATCGTCATTTTTACCATGTCAAATATTTATCATGTCGGACATGACAGAAATTTTTAGTGTGAAGAAAGTAGTTTCAATGCCCAAAATTGATTTGTATCTTAATTAGCGAGAGACGTGTTTCAGTATTATAAGGCGAACGGGTGCAATTAACTCCTGCATAATCTTCCAGATTTGGAATTCAATAAAAACAATCCATATAAAGTTTGCCAAGGAAATAGTGTGGAATTCGCGCGTGTTTCCTTATAGGAGCATGTAACATGCCTATTGGCTCAACTACTCATTAGTTAATTTATATATTTCTCATTATATAATATTATATAATTTCTCTTCTCCACTATGCAATTGGGAAACGTAACTACTTTCAGTAAAGAATAGTAGATCACCATTTGTACTTTTACCCATCGATGCATTCAGCTTTTTCATACTCGTATGCAATTGTTGGGAAAAAGGAGATTACGTTAGAGAAAGTTAATCTTTAAATTTGATAACAGCTATTTCTACGCAAGTAAAGAAAGTTTGCAATATTGTGCATCGAGTGCACCAGAAGATAGATTGTATCAGACAGTTTGTATAATCTAAATATTAATCTCAGAGAATATTATCATCACGAGTTCATAATTCACACATTATACAGAAGTGGGCTTTAACCGATAGGACATGAAATTATAGTACTAGTAGTAGTACTAGAATTATAATAGATGGTACAATAGGACTATACTTTATACTTTATACTTTATTTATTTAAGGTGAAAGCGATCTTCAGTTACTCATCGCACCACCATGTGGTACAAACTTATACATATTCTTTGGGTTATCATATAAATACATTTTTTACACTTTCTTACTTAAGTTAATCCGTATTTATCTTTTATATCTATGAGATAGAAGAAATACTTATGCTAGTTAACTTAATGTTACATTTACTTAACTCAATTACAAACTATTTAAAAACTATTATAACTTTTCTCGTCGGAATTGCATTTTCTCAGCTAAAGGGGAGACCTTATTTTTCTGTAATTTACCTTAGAATTATTGCTTATATCTATGATTAATTTAAGAACAGCTTTTTTTGGAGTAGTTTTACTTTATTTTGCGCTTAACATCACAGTCATAATTTCTATTTTTATTTTTAATATTGATTTTACGTCTTTGTGTTCTATTTAGCCCATATCACAGAATTCTAAAAATATACTATACAGTCTTATTTTCCACCTTTTACTATCTACTTACAGTGGGTATAGAATATATTCGTACACCGATCAATTTCCCACAAAAATTTTGTGTGAAATTGTAGTTTCTTAACTTTCTTTTCTATAATCAATGATATTTTACATATTCTCGGAAGTCTCTAAGACAGATATAGTCCAAACAACATTTACTAGTTGATATAATTTCTGAAATTAACAAAAAGATGCGAAAAGTGGGTGAAAGTATAGAAGCAAGTATTTGTACGATTCTTATGACGAACCATTTACAGCAGAGTTTGTAACGTGAACACATTAGTTTACTGCTCCGTGCGAATTAGAAAACATCAAATTTCCAGTAAAGTACTTTTAAACAGTTGTCCGAATACTTTTTATTGCTCCAACATTTCTATCGATTAATTGTTTTTTTCATGTTAATTTCGCAACTTAGATAAATAGCTACTTTTTTTCGTAGCCTATCTATTTTTTTCTCACTGTATTTAGTTGTTTAAGTATTAGGTTGTCCGAAAAGTTTCTTTCGTTTTATTAATAAGTAATACATACACAATATTTTATGTCTAACGTTGCATTACTAAATTGTGTACGATTCATTTTGCTCCATTACTGTTACAACATCGATATATAGGGTGTCCCAAAACTCGGGGAGGAGCCGGAAATGGGGGGTAGCTGAGACGATTCTGAACAACAATTTCCTTTGCAAAAATGTCGGGTGAGGCTTCGTTAAGGAGATATTAAGCGAAAACACCGACCAATCAGAGCGCGCGTAGACCGTTGGAGCGGCCGCGGTAGCGAAGGCTACGCACTGGCGGCCGCGCTTGTACGCGAACAAGCGACTCGACGTGCATCGAAGGACATTGACGCTGCCGCCTATAGCGCGTAGCCTTCGCTACCGCGGCCGCTCCAACGGTCTACGCGCGCTCTGATTGGTCGAGGTTTTCGCTTAATATCTCCTTAACGAAGCCCCATCCGACATTTTTGCAAAGGAAATTGTTGTTCAGAATCGTCTCAGCTACCCCTCATTTCCGGCTCCTCCCCGAGTTTTGGGACACCCTGTATAAGAAATTAGATTGTCTATTTATATAAACACTGTCACACAAAATAATCGAGGGCAAATTACTAAAGAAACTTTTGGAACAACCTAATACAACAGGACTATAGGACTATAAGAAAGTATGTATACTATAGTAGATGGTACTATAGGCCTATAAGAATGTCTTTGTGACTACATCTGAAGGCGCCACGGAAAGTCGTTAGTGTGCTCTTAAACTTCGCACGCGAATTTTCTTCAATCATTCCCAATCACTTTTCATCACTTCTCACTAAAGATCATGATGAAGTCAAAGCCTCGAATCGAATTTATTTGCCTGTTCCATCGCGTAACGAATTCGTTGAAAGTCGAAACCCAGCAAGTCGGCAAGCAACGATTTCCTTCGCGGTCGCGCGAGTTTTCATCGGCGCGTTGATCCACATTTTCCCGATCGGTGGTCAGTGAAAATAAGTGGCGCGGAAGATCGGCAAGCAAAGCGAATACTCATCATATAAGGCTGGGTTCTGGAGGGAGGTGTCAGTTGGAAAGTGCGGGCCCTCGTACGAGGAACGAGAAACGTTGAAACGAATCGTCTCGGTCGGCGATCGACATGAAATCGAAGCTGCGCTCGCTGCTTCTCGTTGCGCTCGCATTTTCCGGTGAGTTTCAGCACTTTCGGCGCGTCTCGGTGCGACACTTTAAATGTTACTTTGCGTCGCGTAAACGATAATAATAACGAGAACAGTAAAGAGTTTATTACACTGTACGAAAGGAAAGTATAGATGCAAAGCGATGAACAAGACGGTGCACGCGCTGTCGTTAACACATTCACTGCGGAAGAGTCGAATGCCATTTAATTTCAAGCAAACATTTGTGTAGATAATTGTTGAAAGCTTCTGGAATATTCGCACTCGACTGCTAACTTGAAACTTATACTGTGGGGGATTCTTATCACAGGGTTCTTAACATAACTTGTATTCGTGTAATTATAGCTAGGAGTGTGAAACTTCGAATAAAAAGCTCCCAATAAAATGTTATTCATCTGTTGTTCGAATAACGAATAATGTTTATCTTTGCCTGAAATACGCGATTCTTATACCACGTGTGATTTCTGTGTTGTTTTACATAACGAAAGTGGCCCGCCCATAAAAACAAAATCGATATATTTCTTCTTCTTCGTGTCGTCGTTGATTCCAAGTGCCTACAGAAAGTCCAGGAAAAAGCTGCCGCAGTGAACGTATCGAGAACGCAACCTCTGCCAAATCGATCGACGAAGAACATTCGAAGATTTAAAAAAGTGTCGAATCGTGACTCGTGGAATCGGTCTAGGACGATTCGGTGCGTTGAACAAAGCGTTTCAAAGAAGCGGAAAATCGACGGTCGCGAGGGACATTCGTGCTTCCGCGTACTGAATAATTTCACTTCCGTTTTTGCTACCGAGTGAAAACGTCAGGGGCAAACAGCAGGATTTCTCTTCGAACGGTTGTTTCGATACTGTGCGAAAGGGGTTCGTGAAAGTTTCCAGAGAATGGATTTCGACGTTAGCCCTTGTCGATTTTTATTATTATTCCAAATTTGAAATATTTCGTGTTAGTTTGTATCTGTTTAAGATTATCTAAAAAGATGAACTATATATAATCTCTTTGCTTGCGAGGCATTTACTTCGACATTTCAAAGTGATAGTTCTGCCAACTGTCATTAATATTGCTATTGGCATTCAGAGACATTACATAAGACGTTATTACGTCCCTCAGGGGCTGTAGCATGCGATTATGCAGCTACAGCACGGGCTTAGCAACCCCGGGGTGCCCTAGCTAGACGTGGGGCCCCAGTAGACATGTACAAAACACAAGATAAAGTAAACGCAATGTACAGAATTACGATAACGCGAACTGATCAAAAATTAAGGAGTTATGTAAGGAAAAGTAATGTCAAGAAAAATAGAAATAATTGTACTGTCATGTATGGATTCAGTGCAATAACTGAAGTGACAGTAACGCACTTAAAAAACCAAGCAAGACATTATACGCCATCTTGTGAAAATACTAAAATTACTTGGTAAAAGATACACCATT